GTGTGTGTGTGTGTGTGTGTGTGTGTGTGTGTGTGTGTGTGTGTGTGTGTGTTGGTAGGGTGTTGCACACATAACCATGATATGCATGTGGTGGCGGCCAGAGGACAGGTAGAAGTCAATTTTCTTCTTCCACCATATGGGTATCAGGATGGAGCTTCAGTCCTTAGGCTCAACAAGACTTGCCTTTGGCTGTTCAGCCCCCTCGCTGGGCTTAAGTGGAGATTTTTAAAACCAAACAGTTATGTGGGCCATTTGCAGCCATAACTTGTCATTTTGCTGTCTTGTTTTTAAATGTATTTGCTAATACGGTATAAAACTTTTTATGCATGTGCTAGGCACAACATATAGGCAACATGGAATGAGGTTTGTGTCTTCTTAACTACAGATGATGATAAGCTGTCAGAGGTGGACGAAGCTCAAGAAAGCACCATGGAAGGAGACCCTAAGCCATAGACAGGCTGACCGTCGCTATTCACAGGAATAGTGAATAGCTGTACAGGCTCCGGGGCTCAGTGTGCTGGGCTTTTGGGATACTTCAACTTTGGTTGTGAAATAGTTTACTTTTAAATATTAACTCATGTCTCATTTGTATTTCTTTACACAAAGAAAATGTGTTCCATGTATGTATGTTTTTTTTAATGTAGAAATCAACATCTGAAAGTATTTAATAAAATGTCTCAGGCTGGATCTTTGTGCTCATTCAAAACTCTAGACAACTGGTAATTATTACTTTATCAAATCAGGTGAGGATTCTAAAATGGCATTTGGGATACACATGAGAAAATGAGTAGATTTCTGGAAGGTATTAGCACTTCAGAAAATGGAGTCCATAAGTAGGTTTTAGAGGAATCATTTTTTAAATTTTATTTATTTTATTACGATTTATTCACTTTGTATCCCAGCTGTAGCCCCCCCCCCCACATTCCCTCCCAAGCCCACAGTCCCTCCCTCTTCTCCTCTCATGCCCCTCCCCCTGTCCACTGATAAGGGAGGTCCTCCTCCCCTTCCATCTGACCCTAGCATATCAGGTCTCATCAGGACTGGCAGCATTGTCTTCCTGTGTGGCCTGGTAAGGCTGCTTCCCCCTCAGGGGGAGGTGATCAAAGAGCCAGCCACTGAGTTCATGTCACAGACAGTCCCTGTTCCAATTACTAGGGTACTCACTTGGAGACTGAGCTGCCATGGGCTATATCTGTGCATGGGGTTTTGTACACCTAAAGAAGCTAAGCAAAAAGGAGGACCCTGGGTAAGATGATCAATCCTCATTCAGAAATGTAAACAGGATGGGCATCGGAAAGGAGAGAAAACAAGGATCAAGACAGGAGCCTACCAGAGAGGGCCTCTGAAGACTCTACCCTGCAGGGTATCAAAGCAGATGCTGAGACTCATAGCCAAACTTTCGGCAGAGTGCAAGGGATCTTAAGAAAGAAGGGGAAGATGAAAGACCTGGAGGAGACATGCTCCACAAGGAGAGCAACAGAGCTAAAAATTCTGGGCCCAGGGATCTTTTCTGAGATTGATACTCCAACCAAAGACCATGCATGTAGATAACCTAGGAATCATTTTTGAAAATGATTACTTGGGGGCATGTGTACATGGTACGTGTGTTTATACGCGTGAGTATGAGGGAGTGAACCTGCTGTAGCATGTTGTTAGCTTCCGATGGCAGTGGCAGCTGTTGCTGCTTGCCTTTCGTTTTGTTCGAGGCACGGTCTCTCTTTGCTTCTGGGCTGCGGACTAGGAACTCAGAAGCAGCAGCAGGCACATGGGAAGCAACCACTCCGAAGCTTATACTTCCTCTTGGTTCTCTTGGAAAGCCTTTGGAACTGCTTCGAAGACTGAAGGATCTCAGCCCCTAGGAACTCACACTGCTGAAGCTCAGCGTGTCTCTGGGCCAAAAGCTTCATGGATTTGTCAGTAACTCTTTCTATGAGGTCATCCACCTATGGTAGACAGATACAAAGAGATGAACTGCTAAAAGCAAAGACATGGTTGTTTTTCCTGAGAGTGCCAAAGTAGTATTCTAATTCAACTCAAAGCAAACAGAGCTTGAAAAAAGATTTACCACACGGGGGTGAAGACAACCTCGTTTCGTATCAAGCCTGGGTGTGCCTGGTTTTAATGGAATTCGTTTAATATTTATTATGCACTTGGTGTCATCCTTGGTCCCCTTAGCAGTTTCTTACCCACTCCCGGAAGCCCCCCACTGACAGTATTTCTTAATGGTAATTGTTAATTGGGCCCTGCTCTGTGCTGTCTTGCAGAGCAGTATATTCTCTGGTGCTTCTGAAACAGAAAGGGAAAGTCTTGGCCCACTACCTGCATTTGAAGCTTTCCTACTGTCAGCTCTGATTTCCGGAGGATGTCTTCCATGCTCTGTTTCTTCTTTTTAAGTGCTGGAAAGTGTGGTCTCTTTTTTGATGAATAGGGTGCCTATTGTCAAAATGCAAAACATCCTATTAAGAAATAACAGTTTTGCGCTAGCACTCAGTACTTACCCTTGGACATTCTCTCACAAAGTGATTGTTAGGTAACACAGAGTTGCAATTTGTATTCATATTCTCTGCACCCCGTGTATTTTCTTTGTGCCCCGAGCTCTCTTTGAAGAGTTCAATAGGGTGCAGAGAAATGAGATTATTGGGCTCTGAAAAGATAGACATGGTCAGGAAAAAAAGCAGGTCTTTGGAAAAGACAAGAAGAATTTGCTCTGGCTGCTGAGTACAATGAGTGCTAGGCTGGTGTGGCCAGTGCCACAAAAGCTCATTACACTGCATCCTCTTGTTCATTTGTTCTTGTGTCTCCAGGTTTTATTTTCATGGCAGTCCAGATGTAAAGAAGCCCTGGATTCTTCTTGGCCATGCTTAACATTTTTTGCTTGTCCCTGGCTTACTGGTTACGTATACCTGTCCTAATAGCACTGCTGGAGGAAATCGTTCCTCGATGCTGAGACTTGCTGGCTTCACTCTCCATTTCCCTTGGACTTGACCATCAGAGCTACACAGAGAATATGTGTGGGGTCCCGTGTCAGTACTACCCTTTGAAAGAGGATCAGAGCCATCACTGACTGACTGCTGCTCTACCCATACTGAACTTTCTCTGATGCATCTAGAGACCCTAGTTGGGGAATTTGTTTTTTTGTTTTGACTCAAGATCTCACTGCATAGGCCCAAGCTAACCTGGAACTCAGCACGTACATGTACCCCACTCTGGCCTCAAACTCAAGATATCCCCCACCTTTGTCTCCTGAATGCCAAGAGTAGAGGTGTGTACCCCTACAACAGACTAAAGCTCTACTCTCTTTATTATGCCCACCTACTTGTTCTACTAAGCAGCTATCCTAATTGGTGGGTAAGTGTTCCTGTGTTTTCTCGGTGTGCTTACTGCCAAGTTGGGTGCTGAGGAGTGTTCTATAAACCAGGACAAGGGAAGAGAAATGCCCAGAGGGAAGAGGCCTGTAGAGGGCATCTCTTTGCAACCTTACTAGTTTCTCTGAGATACTGTGTTTCTAAAGCTTCCTATTTTTTTTTTTCAAAAGTAATTTGGGAACCTGCTTTTTTATTTGAAATATCCTACTTTTAAGATCTAATTCGTACATAATTTGGGGAGCATAGTGAGGCCTGGCTAAAACCCTTCTATAGCCAGTTGCCAACCTCAATTTAATGTCTTTTGGCACGCAGGAATCCTTAAATATAGCCAAAAATTTGCATCTTCTGGTCAGTGCCACTTATATACTGAAAAGACTGTCCTGAAATCGTGATCTTATTGTCCCAATTAGCTCTACAGCTCAACAGGAATTGGATTGGTCTATGATGTGAGAACTGGGGGGGGGGCTCAAATTTCACTTTTCCGTTATTATCACATATATTCACTTGACCCCCTGCCATGATATAAGATTATCCTTACCCCACTGCTCTACAGTATCATGGGTTAATTTCACCCTCTATTGGACTGCATTTTCCAAAAAGCAAGACCATGTCCATCAGATCTTCCTTGTAATCCCCTGTAAACCCAGGAATAGCCTTGAATATAGAGGCACAATAAATACTTGGCAACCCAAAAACAAAATTCAAAACTGCTATTGTACACTGACAGTGATAGTCAAGAGCATTGTTTGATGGAACTTTCTGCCTTTCTGCAAGGGTACAAATGTTTGTGCTAGTCAGTACAGAAAGACTAGCTGCATGTGATTATTGAGCATTTAAGTGGCTCGTGTAACTGGGATGTCGTTGTTTGGGAATTTTTTTTTTATTGTTTTGTCTTAGTTTGTGTTTTTGTTGTTGGTTTTGGTTTTTGGTTTCTTAAGACAGGGTTTCACTGTGTATCCCTGTCTGTTCTGGAACTCACTCTCTAGACCAGGCTGGCCTCAAACTCACACAGATCTGCCTACCTTTGCCTCCTGAGTACTGGGATTAAAGACGTGTGCCACCACCAACCAGCCTGAGAAACTATACATTTAGTACCATCTAATTAAATTAGTATAGTCACAGGTGGCTATCACACAGCACAATTAATACACAGTGTTTAAGAATGGGGTTGGGGAGAGGAAGGAGTCTGACTCAGTAGAGCACATGCTTGTGTGAGGACTGACTTCAATTCCCAGAACCAAAGTAAAAGAAAAGATGGGAGAGAAAATGAATGGGAACCCTCAGCCTTTATTAGAAACCTGGCTCTCCCACTCACTTCCACAAATTAACAAACTCCCGAGCCATCCCTAAAATAAGGTAGTATTAATATCTACCTTAAAAAATTGTAACCATTTTCTGAGTAGTTGAAATTTTGAAGCATTTAGAATAGCCTGGAACTGAGTGCCAGCACTGAATAGGTGGTTATTAAAATAGTAGTTCAGGGTTCTGTTTTTGCTGGGAAGGAAGCTGAAACAGGAAGATTTGGATTCTGAAAAATTGAAACCAGCCAGGGCAACAAAATGAGATTCTATCTCCCAAAACACACAAAAACCAAAATCAAGCTGGGCATGGTGGCATACACTTTTAATCCCAGCACTCATGAGTCAAAAAGCAGGCAGGTCTCTGCGAGTTTGAGACCAGCCTGGTCTGCATCGTGGGTTCAGGACCAGCCAGGACTGCATAGTGAGAACCTGTCTAGAAATAAATAAAAATTTTTTAAAAATCCTAATTCCTAACCTGAGCGTTTTAGTTTCATACACTCCTGAAGTAATGATCAGCCAGATGGGTCTGTGGATAAAGGCACCAGCAGGCATGAGGACCTGAGTTAGAGCCACATGATAAAAGGACACAGCCAAACAGAAAGGAGGATCAATGGGATCGCATAGAAGACCCAGAAATAAACCCACACACCTATGAATACTCAATATTTGACAAAGAAGCCAAATCCATTCAATGGAAAAAAGACAGCATCTTCAACAAATGGTGCTGGACCAACTGGATGTCTACATGCAGAAAAATGAAAATAGATCCATATTTATCACCCTGCACAAAACTAAAGTCCAAGTGGATCAAGGACCTCAACATAAAACCAGATACTCTAAATCAGTTGGAAAAAAAAAGTGGGGAACAGCCTAGAACTCATTGGCACAGGAGACAACTTCCTGAAGAGAACACCAACAGCACAGGCTCTAAGAGCAACAATCAATAAATGGGACCTCATGAAACTGAAAAGCTTCTGTAAAGCAAAAGACACTGTCATCAAAACAAATAGACAGCCTACAGATTGGGAAAGAATCTTCACCAACCCTTTATCTGACAGAGGGCTAATATCAAGTATATATAAAGAACTAAAGAAGCAGAAAAGCAACAAACCAAGTAATCCACTTAAAAAATGGGGAACAGAGCTAAACAGAGAATTCTCGAAAGAGGAACATCGAATGGCAGAGAAACACTTAAATGCTCAACCTCATTAGCCATTAGGGAAATGCAAATCAAAACGACCCTGAGATTTCACTTTACACCCATCAGAATGGCCAAGATGAAAAACTCAAGTGATAGCACATGCTGGAGAGGTTGTGGAGAAAAGGGAACCCTCCTCCATTGCTGGTGGGAATGTAAACTGGTTCAACCACTCTGGAAGTCAATCTGGCGCCTTTCTCAGACAACTAGGAGTAGTGCTACCTCAAGACCCAGCTATACCACTCCTAGGTATATACCCAAAATTTGCTCAAGTACACAACAAGGACATTTGTTCAACCATGTTCGTAGCAGCTTTATTTGTAATAGCCAGAACTTGGAAACAACCCAGATGTCCATCAACGAAGGAATGGATACAGAAATTGTGGTATTTTTACACAATGGAATACTACTCAGCAATCAAAAAGGAGGAAATCATGAAATTTGCAGGCAAGTGGTGGGATCTAGAAAAGATCATTCTGAGTGAAGTATCCCAGAAGGAGAAAGACAAACTTGGTATATACTCGCTTATATAGACCTACAAGACATGATAAACATAATGAAATCTACACACCTAAAGAAGATAATCAAGAAAGTGGACACAGGCGAAGGTGATTAATCCTCATTTAGAAAGACAAATGGGATGTGCATTGAACTTATGACAGGAGTCTACCACAAAAGGCATCTGAAAGACTCTACCTAGCAGTGTTTCAAAGCAGACACTAAAACTCATAACCAAACCATGGCAGAGTGCAGGGAATCATATGAAAGAAGGGAAGTTAGTATGATATGGAAAGGATAGGAGCTCTACAAGGACCAAATATATCTGGGCACAGGGTCTTTTCTGAGACTGACACTCAACCAAGGACCATCTATGGATATAACCTAGAACTTCTGCTCGGATGTGGCCTGTGGTAGCTCAGTAACCAAATAGTTTTCCAAAGTAAGGGGAACACGGACTATTTCTAACAGGATCTCAAGGGCAGGCTGTTTGACACCCCCCCCCCCAAGGGGAGGAGCAGTCTGTTAGGCCACAGAGGAGGACTTTGCAGCCAGCCCTGAAGATACCTGATAAAACAGGGTCAGATGAAAGGGGAGGAGGTCCTCCCCTATCAGGGGACTTGGAAAGGGGCAGGGAGGAGACCAGGGAGGGAGTGTGGGGTTGGGGAGCGAATGAGGGAGCGGGATACAGCTGAGACACAGAGTTAACAAATTGTAACTAAAAAGAAAACTTAAAAAAAAAAAAAAAAAAAAAAGGACACAGCCAGCTAAGGCAAGCTTTTCTCAGGCTTCTACACACACAGTGTGGTCTGCATGCCCCTCCCCTCACAAAATAGACATGTAATAAAAATAAAATAGGCTGCGTGTGGGGGTGCATCCCTTTAATCCCAGCACTTGGGAGGCAGAGGCAGGTGGATCACTATGAGTTCAAGGCCAGGTCTACAGAGCTAGTTTCGGGACATCGAGTCCTATTACAAAGAGAAACCCTGTCTCAAAACACCAAAATAAATATAGAAATAAATAAATAAAAGAAAGGTGTCTTTGGTTTAGACTTAGGCTCATGAGGCGTTTTTGTTTTGTTTTGTTTTTTGACACTTAGGTATCACAAAGTTTGTACTTGAAAACCAAGCAACTAAGCTACAAATCAATAAATATAACCCAGCCTGGGGAGAGAGTTGGTAGGTAAAGTACTTGCTGTTGCATTTGTGAGGCTCTCAATCAGTCAATCCTGAGGGGGGGGGGGGGGGAACAATTCCGGCCTGGTGTACACTCTTAATAATCCCAGCAGACACAGGCAGGAAGAGCCTGGTCACTTGCCCAGATCTCAGAGCAACATGAACATTTCTTGAGGTAGACAGCTCAGGTTGCCCTCTGGCTTCCACATGCACACAAATGTTTGTACACCAGCATGCCAGTGCATTCTTCATGCAGAAAGAGAAAGCACACACCAGTGCTTTAAGTTAGCAAATTTGAATTTACATCTAGTCTAGGCTGCAACCAGTATGTGGGCTACAGCTTGGACATGCCTGAATCACTTAGCCATGATAATGTTTTATGTTGTAAATGTAGCCATTTGAATTAGTTCACTCTTATTTTAATTAAAAAATAACTAATTCAGGTGTCCACTTACTCTGGGTACATTTCACTCTCAATGACATATGTGACTACAAACTACTCAATGAGATGAATGATGATGACTTTGCAGAAGCTGTTTTTGGGCAGTTGGGCACGTAGCGTCTGTATCGGCCACATTCCTAGTGTGTGACCGTGGCTTCTGAACAGTTCAGTGAGTCTGCACAAAGCTCCACACTGTAGCCACACTGTGGTAGGGCTGAATGATGCGTACTCAGAAGTAGATCTGATCTGGAAAATGCCCTCACTGTGCTTTAAATTCTTGGTTTGAGGTCACAAGCAACAGGTGTATGGGGATACTGTGGGAGAAGGTAAAACAGAGCTTGTCTGGTTCTGGCAAGAGCCAGAGAAACCAATTTATGTAAGTCTTTCAAAGCAAGTTTACCCTAGCACCTTACCTTCTGCAGCCCAGAAGGAAGTGACGTCACAGATAATCGCCTGGTGGTTCTCTTGGCACGAAGGAGCCCATCTCCTCCAGTTATTTCTTCTGTCTCTGCTTCTACCACATCGAGCTGTATAGTTGCTTGAAGAGGAGGAAGGAATATATTATGAGGATCACAATTGCAAACATAGTCTTCCTCAGCAAAATAATTCTGGAAAGCCAGGTGCCATGGTGAATGCCTGTCACCCCAGCACTCAGGGAGGCAGAGGCAGGCAGATCTCTGTGAGTTCAAAGCCAGCCTAGTCTACAAAGTAAGTCTAGGACAGCCAAGGCTAAACAGAGAAACCCTGTTTCAAAACTTATTATTATTATTATTATTATTATTATTATTATTATTATTATTATTCCCACTGCTGGTGGAAATGTAAACTTGTACAACCACTCTGGAAATCAATCTGGCACTTTCTCAGACAACTAGGAATAGCACTTCCTCAAGATCCAGCCATACAACTCCTAGGCATATATCCAAAAGAGGCTCAAGTACACAATAAGGACATTTGCTCAACCAAGTTTGTAGCAGCTTTATTTGTAATAGCCAGAAGCTGGAAGCAACCCAGATGCCCCTCAACTGAAGAATGGATGCAGAAATTGTGGTACATCTACACAATGGAGTATTACTCAGCAATGAAAAATAAGGAAATCATGAAATTTGCAGGTAAATGGTGGGACCTGGAAAGGATCATCCTGAGTGAGCTGTCCCAGAAGCAGAAAGACACACACGGTATATACTCACTCATATAGACATGTAATACAGGATAAACCTACTAAAATCTGTACATCTAAAGAAAGTAATCAAGAGAGAGGACCCTGACTAAAACGTTCAATCCCCTGAAAGGCAAAGAGGTTGGACATCAGAAGAAGAAGAAAACAGGAGACAAGCTAGAAACCTGCCACAGAGGGCCTCTGAAAGGCTCTGCCCTGCAGGCTATCAAAGCAGATGCTGAGACTTATGGCCAACTGTTGGGCAGAGTACATGGAATCTTATGTAAGAAGTGGGAAATAGTAAGAGCTGGAGAGGACAGGAACCTCACAAGGAGAGCAACAGAACAAGAAAATTTGAACACAGGGGTCTTTCCAGAGACTCATACTCCAACCAAGTACCATGCATGGAGATAACCTAGAACCCCTGCACAGATGTAGCCCATAGCAGTTCAGTTTCCAAGTGGGTTACATAGTAATGGGAAAAGGGACTGCCTCTGACATAATCTGATTGGCCTGCTCTTTGATCACCTCCCCCTGAAGGGGGAGCAGCCTTACCAGGCCACAGAAGATGACAATGCAGCCACTCCTGATGAAATCTGATAGATTAAGATCAAAAGGAAGGAGAGGAGGACCTCCCCTATCAGTGGACTTGGGGAGGGGCATGGGTGAAGAAGGGGGAGGGAGGATGGTATCGGGAGAGGAAGAGGTAGGAGCTTATGGGGGGATACAAAGTGAATAAACTGTAATTAATAAAAATTAATAAAAAATAAAATAAAATTATACATCAAGAAAAGAAATTAGGTCACTAGATAAACAGGGAAAAAAAAAAAGAAGAAGAACTCCTTAGTGCTCTTCAAAGAGGCAAGTGCTCTCACCCACTGAACCACCTGTCCATCTCCAGCTAGGAGCATTCTTGATTATTTTCTTATAGGAACTCAAGCTCAACTCAGGAGATATTATAAAGGCAGATTTAAAAGGCTACTATCCAGCCAGTGAGATGGCTCAGCGGGTAAAAAAAAAAAAGGCACTTACTACCAGATATGAGTTCAGGCTGATATGGTAGAAAGAGAGAACTAACTCCCATAAGCTGTCCCCTGGCCTCCACATGAATACACACACGTACACACATGCGTTTTTTAAAGATTTAATTTATGTGTGTGTGTGTGGTTTGGGGGGATATGCTTATGTGCACATAGCACAAGGGCCGGTAAGATGACAGAGAGAGCATCAATTCCTCCAGGGCTGCAGTTACAGGCAGTCGCAAGCCTACAACATAAGCGCAGAAAACTGAACTCAGGCCTGAAAGAGCAGTACATGTTCATAAACTCCCGAACCATCTTTCTAGTTCTGTAATGAGTAGGGGCTGGAGAAGGGGCTTGGCTTTTAGGAACACTGGCTCTTCTTCCAAAGCACTTGGGTTCAATTCCCAGAATCCACATGGCAGCTCACAAACATCTGTAACTCCAGTTTCAGGTAATCTGATACCCTATCTGGCCTCTGCAGGGAACAGGCACACAGATACAGTGTGAAGACATATATGCAGGCAAAGCATCCATTGAAAAGCTAATCTAGGCAACCCTGGCGAAAGGAGAGGGGCAGTGCCCTCATCCCTCACAAGCATCAAAAACATGACAGGGTTTTGTTTTGTTTTGTTTTGTTTTGAGACTTCATAGCTGTAATTTTATCAACAAGAGAACAATTGAGAGGAGTTGTGCTTTGCCACTCTACATGACTCTAAAGGCAGTGTTGAGAAGCCATTTCTGAACAGACCTATTCTGGGACTCTGAGAAGAAACTAAACTCAACCTGCTACATCCTCAATAGTTTGAAGCAAACTGGAGAGCAGGAGGACATGATGTTGACAAACTGAAAACTGTGGGTAGCAGAGAGTTTAGATCAGGCAATGGTGTGCACAGGGAGAGGTAGCTCTACCCTCAGCAGCATCATTGCACCCAAGGTCAGCAGGCGGAGCAACTTCCGCACCCACACATCTGCCATACTCAGCATTTAAGCCCAGCTAAGGGTACACGATATCCTGTCTCAAAAGTAAATAAACAAACAGACAAAAATGAAAAATCAGTAGCTGATTGTCTGATTACAAACCAATAACAGATTTGCCAAGGAAGAGATGAAAGAAAAATTTCCATTCACCATTGCTTCAAATGAATCAGCAAACAAACAAAAAGCCCAACAATAAATATCTAAGAATTAAACTGAGTGAATTAAACTACAGTGAAAACTTAAAAGTGTTGAAGAATGGATTGAAGAATTCACTTCCCACACTGTATTAGGATTCTCTAGAGCAGTCATTCTCAAACTGTGGTCGAGACCCTCTTGGGGGCTGCATGTCAAATATCCTGCATATCAGATATTTACATTAAGATTCATAACACTAGAAAAATCACAGTTATGAAGTAGCAACAAATAATTATATGGTTGGGGGTCACCACAAATGAGGAACCACATTAAAGGTTGAGAACCATTGCTCTAGAGGAACAGAACTGACAGAACTATATATATACATATATAAGGTAGGGGATATTAGAGTGGCTTACAGACAGTGATCCAGCTAGTCCAACAATGGCTGTCTACCAACAAAACGGTCAAGAATACAGTAGCTGATCAGTCCATGAGGTTGAATCTCAGGTATATGCCAGAATCTTGAAAAAGTAGGCTCTAATGCCAATAAAGGAATGGACTTGCCAGCCAGAGTAAGGGAGAGCAGGCAATGAGAGAAAAAGAGAGAGAGAGAAAAGGTTTTTTTGGGTTTGTTTATTTGTTTGTTTTTGGTTTTTCAATACAGGGTTTCTCTGTGTAACAGAGCCCTGGCTGTCCTGGACTCACTTTGTAGACCAAGCTGTCCTTGAACTCATGGAGATCGCCTGTCTCTGCCTCCCAAGCTGGGATTAAAGGTGTGTGCCACCATGCCTGCCTAGCTTCCCTCTTTTATGTCCTTTATATATACTGCCTCAAAAAGGTGTGGCCCAGATTAAAGGTGAATCTTCCAATCTCAAAAAATCCAGATTAAAAGGGGTCTTTTCACTTCAAATGATTTAATTAAGGAAAAATTTCTCACAGGTGAACCTAGCTGCTGTGATTTTAGTTAATTCCGGAGGCAGTCAAACTGACAACAAAGAATAGCCATCAAACAGGCTTATTAATTTTTACAATTAGTATTTTGAAAATATCTCTATTACTGAAAATAAAGACTACTACAGATTCAACACAATTCCCCTCAAAATTTTGATAGTATTCTTCACAGACAGGACAAGATTATCCCAAAGTTCATATAGAAGTACAAAAAACCCCAAGTAGCATTGCTAAGCAGAAAGCCAGAGTGATCCCAATACCTTATCTCAATCCATATTTCAGAACCATATTGACAAAAACAGTACAGCATCAGCACAAAAAACAGCCACAGACACCTACAGAAGCTCAGAAGTATACCCACGTACTATAGCCGCCTAATATCTAACAAGTGGATATCAAAACATCCACCAAAACCCAGAAAGCCTCTTCAATAAAATTGGATATTTACATTTAAAAAAGTAAAACCAAATCCGTAGCTCTCCCCATATACAACAGTAGATTCAAAATGCATGAAAGATAATATAAGATCCCAAACTCTGAAGTTGCTACAGGAAAACATGTGCAAAACACTTCTCACTATTGGCATGGGAAGGTCTTCCCTAGAACAACTCCAATAGTGTGGGAGAATAACACAGAAATTGACAAATGAGCTTGCATGAAACTAAAAGGTTTAATTAAAATTAATGGGGACAGAACAGAAACTTGTTTGGTAGAAAGACAAAAACATCAACCAAACAAAGCAAGAGAGTACCAACTGCCTCACCCCAGGCTAAAACACGTGCTTCTAGCTAAGCAGCACACAGGGTTTGTGTACTCTGGTCTGGCTGACAAGACGAGACAAGGATGAGAGTATCCTGGCTGCTGGGGAAGAAGCAGAACTTTCAAATCTGACAATCATTCAACAAATATGCGAAACTCTTTCAAGAGAGAGAATCGTTTTAAAACTTCCAATTTTGGTTCATATCTTCATAAAAACACACGGGGCATCTGACTTGACAACACTTTGGGCAACATTTCCAACTTTAGTGGTGTAAACGCTAAGCAGCACTCTCTTTAGGTGACTGGCTGTGCTGAGACATTCACTCCGCTCCATCAAACGTCTGCACTAGGCTCTTTCCTTTCTGTTGACTCTAAGAAGTCAGTAGACAGTGAATGTATCTTCAGACTACGGAACCTGCGGTGCACAACTCCAACCTAGGTGAATGTTTTTTAATTTAACTGATGTTAATTTTTATTCATAGCAAATTTGTTGAACACTTACTCCTCTGTGCTTTCATACATAAATTACTT